TGCAAAGCCTGCAACAACATCTGTCAAAACCACTCTTGTATTGTTTGATTTTGCAATGCAAAAGTACTTTTTGCTTCAGTTCTAGCTTGCTAGCTCACGAAGACACTTCGTTTGATGTATTACCATTAATTATCACTTCTAGGCATTGGCAGTTCATAGAATCATAGATGTAGTTTGTATTTCTCATTAGATTTCAATGAACTAATCACCGACTCTACTTTGCTCAGGCAAAACAGGAAGTTGACGGTTACCTCATTGCCTTGTTCTATAAAAATAATGATCATGATGTTGATGCTATCTTTCATACCCCCCGCATTCTGCATCAAGTCGCTTATTCAACAGCGCCCTCTTGCGTTGTCACACTAGCCGGTATATTGGCAGCAAAGTGTACTGGTGCTAGTTAATTGAGCACATCACACAAGGCTCCATTTACTGCTCCAAGCAAAACCATTGACAAAAATGTGATGGTATGTCATAGCTCGCTGCATTACACAGCGCCCCCTGTTGCTGCTCCATCTGCAGCTGCTGGTTACCAGAGGCACTGGGGCCTCCCTGCCCTGCAACTCGGCTGTTGGAGGTCAGCCGGCCTCTCCACCTTGAATGGTGGGCGTAATTGGAGCAGCTGGTTGTGAGATCGCGCGGTGGGCCCAATGCTCGATGGAGATCGATCCTCAGGGCCTGCTGTTGGTGAGAGGTGGCGGCGCAGCGAGGCGGTGGTTTGCTGATTTGCGGGAGGCTAGAGAGTGGGCCACAAAAGCGGTTACACGATTCACAGCATGCGCGTGCACATATCGCATGCGCGATGCCCGATCACGAGTCCATCGCGGTCACATCAAGACAAGACAACACAGTGTGCGTCCAGGCACATTGTCACCATCAATTGTTCACCCACAATTAGTCAATTGTTCTCTAATTCCAAGCATTTAACACCCAACCCCCTGGCCCTAAGTACTATAACTTCAGGAGGCCATATCTTCGCCGTTTCTTAATGGAATCGGGTTGTCGGCACGGTCCCCCCTTGGCCACGTCCAAGTACCCTGGCTCGCAAGCTAGGGCCTCTCCAGTGGAAGTGTGATCATCCTCGGCTGGATGGCGTATCCCGGGCTCTCTCTAGCCCGTGGGTGATGGCCGCTCTGTGCGGTCCTGTCCGAGGCACGCGGCTGCTGCGCTCGAGGAGGTAGGGAGGCTCCAAAACAATTGATCACTACAATCGGCGCTGCCGCCAAGCACTCTCACATATGGCGGCCAAAGTCATCAAATTCATTAAGGTTCTCCATTTTGGCCAAACCCATTTTCCGGCTAAAGGCCTCACTACGCTCGGCAAGACAAGAAGCCAACGGTTTGCTACCACATTACCACACGGGCGTTTCAAGTGCGTTGGAACCAGAAAGCTCTAAATAACCCTCCCAAAGGTCGATTTTCCAAATTACATAATTTTTACTTAAAAAAATCAATAATTGTCTAACTCCAAGTAACCACACCACACCCCTCATACTGCCAGATTGTCCACAAAGCAAACTAGGTCCTAGCCAATGTAACACATCGTATAAAATATTACACAAGGTGCCAATCACAATGCCAACCAAAAGAAACAAATAATAGCTAATGGCACGTTGTACTGTGTTGTGCTATGCCATCCAACGTGTCAACGGTATGGAGTTGTGTGCTTGTGTAGGATATGTATTGTTTGGGTTGCCAATAAATGGGTCCCATCAAAAATATAGGTAAGGATATCACTCAGCTGGCAACCCGTGAAATCCAGAAATGATGCAAAGGGGATGTCGACAACCTCAGCACCTTTGCCACACCGATTATCATCTAGCAGGTTGGCGCTCAATGAGGAAGAAACCTTAAAACATCAATCAGGGGTGCTCCACAATTTTCTAGTAGCCCAAGCCCAAAGCACTCAGAATGCAAGGAGGTGCCTTCAGTGGCAAAGAGAGACCATGGTAGCCTCACTATATGCCCAAAGGAGCCAAAGCAATGCAGTTGCGATGCCGGACACAACTCCAGTACGTCACAGTGCGCATCACGGGCACACCAGTTCCTGCCTCACCAGTCTCCTGAGCCCACCCGGTCATGTGCTCCCCTATGAAAAACACTTACAATTATAACAACCAATATCATATACCCAAAATTCCCATCCTTTAGGCTTGCCCTTTGCTTTGGTATAAATGAAGGCATTCAATGAGTGACTCACCCCATGAGTCAATTCCCTAATCCCGTACTTCACTCCCTTCACTGCCGCTCCATCCCACCGCTAAACCGAGCGCCACTCTAGGGCAGGAGGGTTGGGTGCGAAACAAGATAAGGAGGGGGACCGAGGGGGGAGCCTAAATAGCCGCCCCCGCTCAGCCCCGCCAAAGCCTGCCAAACCCAAGGGCACCAAGGCATCTCGCATTTTTGTACTTTGACTGACCCACGGTACTACCAATAGGGTGGCCAGAAATCCTAAGAGACGGGGGTTGAGTGAACCCCGGGATCAAAACTGCACCATTTGAATCACCGGCGCAGCCCACCCATTGTCGCCCTTGGCAGAAACCCATTAACAGGATAGTTAATTGCATGTCGGACACGTTTGGATTCCAAACTTTGGAAAACACGATGAAGTACTTAAGCACCCAGGTCAATGTTGTGCACATGCGTTTGCTTTGGCAAGGGATACAGCCATGCGTGACCAGGCACATTGGACGCAAAAAGGCTTGGCGAGTCGGGCTGCATCGGTTTTTCCGAGCAATGCCCGTTGATCGAGCCGGGACGGCCGTGGCTGCCCATTGTGCTGCCGATGGGGAATGGCAAACACATGACCGAATCGCCGATTGAGACGGATTGAGGTCGAAGTTGCTAGGAGGGTTTCTGGCGAACAGGCAGGCCTTTCTCCCTGCCTGATCGACTGTGTGGCGGAGCGCTGTGAGTTCAAGCGAGCGCGGGAGCCGTGGATGCGAAGAACAGGAGGTCGCAGGGCTGATGCGAGAGGCATGCAAATGTACTACAGCTGGATTTATCATCTTGGCACCCTGTCTGGAGAATTCTGGCGTCTTGTGGAGTGCAAGCTGCTCATAAGTGTGCCCCTAGCTCAGAGCAAGATGGTTTGTCATGGAAGGCTGAGTGCAATCAGTCAGAAAAATGGACCTGTGAAAGTTGATCGAATCTGGAATTGAAAAGATCAATCAATTGCAAGTCAAACTTGCAATATGTTGTTGCTATCCTAAGCTATGTAGAGGTGTTTGAAAAAAACCGTTTGCAAAAGATTTCACCTCAAACAGATCCTTAGTGAACAAGATATGACATTTGATGTGCAATGGAGCCATTTAGGCAGGAGGGCGGTTGCCCTCTATGCCACTTGCCATAGGGTGTGGTGAAACAGTGCCAGGAGGTGTGCATGGAGGCGCCACATAGCTGTTTGATGGGAATATGGCCCCGTGGGGCATTACATGTCCGGGATGTGGGGCGCACCAGTGTGGTTTGTGGTGGCACGGCAGTGTGGCAGAAAGATTCCTCGGAATCCAAAGATGCTATTTCATATGGGGGGGCATTTCAAAGTTGGGGGAGGTTACAAGTACTAGGAGCACGGATAGCGACGTGGAGGAGTCTCCATTGTTGCCCTCGGAATGGCAGCTGTCCGTGTGTCTCTCGCACGGTGGCCTAGGCGTTCATCCTGGCAGCCTAACTTCCCTAGCCATGAGCGCAACGTTCGCCATGGCCTGAATGCAATAGCGCTCGACGTTTTCGAAGGTTCCGGCCAGTCTCGGCCCATTTTTGGAGGCGTTTCCTTGGTGTTCAACACCAGCACCTCCAGTGTGGTCTAGCTGCCGGCCAGAACTCGCCAAGTCTGTCAACACGGCTCAGCTGCCCGTTTCAGTGCGTATTTTACTGCGCCATCACCAGGGGCAACGGCCAGAATGGACCGCTGCCCTTTGCAGTATGGACTGTACATAGGTACCATATTCGATATATACATATGGAGCTAGACACTGAGAAACTTGGGGACATGGTGTTTGATTGAAGGATGAATGTCATGACACTGATTAGCTAGGGTGGACTCGACAAGATAACATCAGGGTGATACCACACTTAATCAGCTGTAAAAATGTGTGAGTATGCAACATTTGTCATTTAGTATGTTCAAGCAACTAGTGCAAACCGCGCTCCTCCCACCCACCCACCTACCCACACCCCATGCGCTATCCTCCATTATCTACAGTACTGGGTTGGCTAGGTACACCCGGGTACCCAACTGTCACAAAATCTGGGTACCTGGACACAGACTTTTCAGCACGGCTTCCATTCCTAATTCAAGGAGCAAGTGGAAGACTGGAAACGAAACGAAACGTCATGGTCTGCAGCTGGAGTCAAGAAGGTGCGCAGTAATGGGATTGTACCACAATCTTATTACTATCAAACGTTTTGTTTGAACAGCTTGGTCGGGTGCTTATGACTGAAACGGCTTCAGCGCACTGCCTTTATCTTTGATACGTGCTCACTGAAGCACTGAGGCCGAAAAATGTAGTGGGAAGGGCTGGGTCAGGGGTTTTTTTGTCACTGCCTATCCCTTCTCGGTTGCAGGGTATGGCTTGTGATGGCTGTGCACTGTGGTTACTTGGGAATAGTAGGCGACCAGCCCAAACTTCGCTGATCGATACGAATATCGTGTCACTCTCTGATGTCTCGTGATATCGACGGTACATTGAATCACTCGAAAAGTACTTCCGTCGCTATACAGCTCCCTGGTTATTTCATTTGCACATTAACGACATGTGGCACTTCCCCGATGTCGTGGTTGCTGTGCGTGGCGATGAGCAGCTGTACCTGCTACTTGCAACTGGCGTTAAACGACTGCTCAAAATTTCCTTGGTGCAAGGTGAGGGCAGCATCGTAGCATCAACAACTCTGCTGGGACGTGCTTGAACACCAGAGCAGTGTGACTGCTGACGTTGAGGAACAGGTCCCTCAACAGAGGTTGGCGCCCATCTTGGGTGCTCAGCTCATCTTGGCTGGCCTCATTCCACCACAATTAGGTTGTTGGTCTCCCCTCGACGTGACTCTGTCGTGGGCCAATCTCTGGCCAGTCGCCATTCTCCATCTATGAGAAACTTCACTTCGTATGCACCCTGTTGCAGAGCACACACACCAAGATATTGAACATCAGCGTGGCATGATACGCTCCCCTTTCTTCGCAACTGTTCGATATTCCATTCCGTATTGTACACCTTCGCTTTCTTGCATTTTCTTTGGACCACCTCATGGATGCTGCAATTTATGCTTAATCCATGTTGTTCAAAGCAACCTGGTGGTTGCTCCATCTCCATTTCTACTGTTACGGACTGCTTAGGGAAGACCCTATGTCGATTTTGTTGCGCTCAGCGTCAAATCGACAAACCCGGAGCTGTGACACTCAGAGAATATGTAATTGCCACCAAATCGACATAGGGAGGGAAGTTGCCTGAAAACGCCACTGATAAGCGGCAAACAACCCGTGACGGGTTCTTGAACTTCTTGGAAGTGTTTGATCTGCAAAGAAGGCCTTAGATTAATCAATTTGCAGCCATTGACGGTGCCCGCCTTGCCTATAATGGTATTTAGAATCCCATTTTCAACCCACTGTAATCAGCAAAACTTCGGTTGTTTTTCGTCTTCAAAACCGCCTAGAAGTTGTGTGCCACAGTCAAGTAATGTTGCTGAGTCATCCTTGCACCGACATAGAGATTGACGTCAAGAAGAGGGGGGGGAGAGGGCGGCTGAGCTGAACGTGAAATTGATGCTAAGCATAACAAAATAGCGCCCTCCTATAACAGACTGACATTGGAGCAACCACAACTTGTGCTCACACAAAGTGCCATACAGTGCTGTCCGTTGCAATGATTGGTGCGTCCATCTGCAATGGCTGTAGTCCAGATAGTGCATTTGCTGACGGGGTGGCGACCACCTGCCTGCCCCTCTGCAAGGTCGGGTGGACAACAGGCTGGTCGTTTAAAGAATAGGTATGCGCATCTCTGGAGGTTTGGCAAGTTGTAAGTGCATCATGCCAAAACAGTCTCCATGTCTGTTTCATGCCCACCTCCACTGCGCTTGCAGATTGCCATGGCGTCAATGGCATTGCCTGCAGGTATTTAATAACACGTCTTCTTACTGGCAGTGCTCCTCCGTGTTGCGCCACGATTATGCTTTGCTCAGGAATTTCGGCAACATCTAAGCAATTTGGAAAAAGTTTCACACGCGTGCAAATGCTGAGGAAGGGGGCGCCCAGCGGATGACAGGCTTCTCTTCTGTCATAGACATTAATACCCACTGCAGCAGAAGACTCACCGGCAGTAAATCCAATTCCGCCTCAAACTTGGTCAGTACACTGTCTTCTATCTTATCAGCAGACAGCTCGTACCCAGTTGTCCAGCCATCGAAGTCACCCATGAGTCGCACCTCGCAGGCCGGCCCATACCAAGATACAGGAACACACCGAGGAACGTGTTCGGACAGATGGGCATATTGGTCGTCGACGGCCTGGCACCACCGACGTTTTCTCTCAGCAAATGCATGTGAAGCTTCATTCGACACATTATACACAGAAACAGTGGCAGTACAGCCGAATATGCCCACACATATTGCAAGCTACCAGCCAGACATTGTGTTTGAAGAGGGGCTGACTCAAGACAGATAGAAACAACCAGTAAGGATAGAGCAAGCGAGATTGGTGAATGCAACGCTAAATTACCTTCCTGGCCTGCCGTAGTTCATGCTCCAATTTCAGCATTTTGTCAACAGCGTCATTTTGATCGCCACCAAACTTAAGGGCAGCAGCCGCAGTTTCTGCCAGGCTGGATAAAGACACAAGCTCACTGGCAAGCTGACATCCAGCACGCCGTCAGTTAGCAATGTCAAGTCATCACCAATCACAACCTTTCTGAAAAGAACAACAGGCAGCAACACTGCTGCAGAGGTTCCTATGCAGACTGGCAACAAGCAATAATCTGCAAACAGCAGGAATTAATGCTGCAAAGGAACTGATGCTTCACTCTGTGCAATCAAGAAATCCAATCTCAACATGTTCTGATGCTCTGTTGATAAAACCAGGCAGCCAGCAAACAACATGCACTTGCAGAGCACGAAATCACCCCATTTTGACGCCAGCACCTCGCATATGAACTTCAGAGTGACCTTCCCTGCACCTTTCGAAGGCCCTTGTGAGCTTTTTGGACTGTGGTCATGCTGCCTTCCAATTGACGCTCTAAGTGTGAGGTGTACTGGGAAGAGCACAATCCACAGAACCGTCAGCAAGAGCAAGCACCATAGGCAAACAATCCTGCAGACCACTGGACAGCAGATGTACGTCAGCCCTCAGCAGCACCTTTTCTTCATCATTGTCAGCAAACAGAACAACATCACCATTCCGCAGAGCCTCCCAAGTACTGCTGGGAACCGCGTGAATTGCCCAACGAAACAACAAACCAGTCTTAAAGCAGAGACAGTTTGCCAAGAACCAATTGCCTGTCAAGTGGAGTCTGAACTGCACAGTGCCTTGAGCATCCAACTCAGGAGAGAATATAATCAACCCGTACCTTGTTTGCTTCGCTGAGGCGTCTGCTCAAGCTGTTCCTTGAGGAAACTAATTGATCGTATGGCTGATGAAACAGCAGAGACATTTCTTAGGGTGTCAAACACACATGCATATCAACAGCCCACAGGGTTCTCTAGCTGCCTATCTGGTCAAACTGCACTTCCTCCACTCCCTTGCTGTCTTTGCCTCCTGCAAATTTCTGCATTCTTGATGAAAATAATGCAGATTCAGAAAGAACCTTGGCTCGGGTGCTGCAGATGCAGTGAAACAATCTGGCAGCAAGGCGATAGGAGATGCAGTAGCTATGAACCAGAGATGTGTTCAGATAGGGAGGAGAGCATGGAGCAAATGGCAGCAGCAGCGGCTTCACAGTCGAAATTTACAAAAAGGTGATGTCATCACGCATTTCAACTAACCAGTGAACGCCTTTGGCTGCTCTGTGGGTTCCCCACTTGCTCAGTAACTCTCAAACTGTCTTGCTTTTCTTTCCTCGTATCGTCGTGTTCCTGATGGTACGATCCATCGTCAGCAAGCCAAAATGTTGGCGTCAGTGTGTGTAACGATTGCGGGGAGTGTAAATCAGAACGAGTTGAACATTCCATGGATCATTGGGGCTCAACTTTGCTGGACACCATCAAAACCCTAAACTTGGAATGTTATATGTCCCAAATCCTTGTCCTCATTAGTTGGAGGTGTAGCAATCTCAACTGCTTGTTGTCACCAGTGAGGACTGTCTGCACCCTGCCAAGTCTTTGATCTCTGCAAGGGCAATTTGAACAGCAGTACTAGCAGACCGCAAGAAATCAAGCATTCAAGCATCTCCAGACAGTTATGGGACATAACAAATCGACTGCTTCTATAGGTGCACGGAGGTCGGGACAGGGCACACAGGCAACCATTATGAACAGCAACAGGACACGTCTCCATTCAAGACAAAGAGCGCAATTCCACAAACATATGACCCAACACCTGAAAATGCAATATGAAGAGTGCCTCTGGCAGCTGAATTTTCCACCACCAGAACAACAGAGGAAATTCCCAACTGCAACATTTCCTAGAGTTCAGCTCACCCATGTGTGGTGGTTTCAGTGTCCCACATCAACAAATCAATAATTGATGACCACAGAAGCCACCCCTTCTCTGCTCACTGGAAACACCATCTCACCGAAAGTTGACTCTGACCCAACGATGCGCTCGTGCACAGCCTGGATGCCTCCTGCAAGGACTGCAGTCCACATAGGCAACTCAATTTCATATTGTGTGTCGCGTGGTACAGATTCGTATCCTGTTGATTGCAAGACACTATTCAAGTAGGGGCTGCTGCACTCCACTTTGCTTCGTTAAGGAGCTGGTCGGTTATTCAGTGATGACGACCGGCAATTAGGATATATACGAAGCATCTGTTCGTTGGTATTTATGAAAGAAGCGCATTGGCTTTCGCTTCACTCGCCCTTGCGTTGGTCTACTCAATTTGTACAGAAACTGATCGTTCCATTCCGTCCAGGGAAAGTGCCAATGTTCGCTTCCTTGTCAATTTCCCCACTCCTTCGCACACCCCATAAGTTTCATTTCCATTGACAAAGCATGTCACCGTTTCCTTTTCGCAGCTCCCGTAATAATTGGACAACAGTAGGAATCCACACCTGGGCCGTGCGAACGCTGTGCCTGCCAGCCACTGTCCCAGCATCGCTGAAAGGCAACTTGGCTCTTGGCGCCCATTTGGCACCTGGCTGCAGGGTATGAGTACCAACACCGGGAGGCGGGAACGGGACCCGCGAGGTCGGCATTTTGCCGGCCACCTTCTCAGCGCGTTAACTCTAGCAGAAACTACGCGTGGCGGCGACGGAGAGCCGCTTCTGTACACCAGCCCTCGACAAGGCAAGGGAGCTGGAAAGGCGTCCTGTGCTGAGGCTCTTCACGACAACGTGAAAGTAGGCCATGCCACTGCTTTCCCTTTTTTGCATTGGGACTGTCACTGATCCTGCAAAATAGGAGAGGTACATAGGGGTGGCCTCTTCAAGGCTGTCCTGAACAAGGCCAAATGGTCAATAAGAGCATCTTTATCGGTCGGCGCTATTGTTCCGGCGGAGCTATTCAGCTATCCGAATAGCTCCGCACGTCAAAAAACCATCATTAACGGTTGGGGAGCAGTAACTCCCCAATAGCTCCCCTGGTGCTATTCGGCGCCCAGCGGAGCTATTCGGGGCCAGAATAGCTCCGCTCGAGACCAAATAGCTCCCCAGAATAGCACCGGTGCTATTCGCGCAGCACTTGGCGGCGGCTGCTTGGAACAACGCGGAGGGGCCTTAGTACAGCGGAGGGGCCTTGGGACAGCCGACCCATGCAAATAGCAACCCCCGTTACAGATGCCCACGGGGTGCTATTGCTCCCCAAGGCATCCACCGTTACGGATGCACGCCCGGTGCTATTGCTCCCCAATAGCACCGGCGCTATTTGGCAAATGCCACCTTAGTAAGGTGGCACGGCAGCCAATGAGAACCGTTCCTGAATAGCTCCGCCGGAACAATAGCACCCACCGATAAAGATGCTCTAAGGCAAGTTAAAATTGGCCATATCTGGTGGTACGACCTAAAGCACTAGAAAGACGTGGCCACGGGCAGTTTGAGTGTGTGGGGGGCACCGCCATGCCTTGCCTCGAAGGCAAGAAGTGCATATTGCCCCATGACACCTCCCAGCCACCTCACTACACTATACACAAATGCTCTTGGCGTAATGGGTATCTTCACGGGATCTGCGGAGAAGTCGATTCCGATGGCGATTCAGAAATGGATCGTGTGTGACGATCGGGTAGTTGCGCCACCTCAATCCATTGTTGATAAGGGGCAGCGTATGGGCGAGTGGCTACCACCATTCGATGTTATGGACATCGACAAAGGTCAAATCTTGTTTGAGAGTGATTTGGAGATTGCCTAACAATTGGGAAAGGACAATGGCAATGGCTGTGGCACAAACAATGACAAGTTCGAGTGACTACCAGTGGAACAAGCGGTCACTCAAGGGAGCAGTAAATGCATGAGGTTGACGATAGAATAGAAGGTTGGCATTTGGGATTCTTTGAAGGTGAAAGTTGGCCAAACTTTGTGCCGTGTGGGGCGTTTGCAGCCTAGGGACCCTCGGGTAACTCGTACACCGGGCATTTAGCAGAGGTGGGCCGTCCAGGAACGGGGACGGACTAGGAACGGGGACGGGGACGGGAACGGGGACGGACCGGAGTCCGTCCCCGTCCTTGGGCCAGCAGGCCCAAGAACGGCCAGGGACGGCTCCGTCCCTGGCTGGGAACGGACTGGGACGGATCTGGGACGGTATGGCCCACCTAGGAGTCCGTTCCTGTACTGCCCAAGGCCGGTCTAGAGTCCGTTCCAGGCCGTTCCAAAGGCCGTTCCAGGCCGTTCCGAAGGCCGTTCTAGGCCGTTCTGAAGGCCGTCCCAGGCTGTCCTGGAACCCGTTCTAGAAGCCGCCCCACAATACATAACAACATCAAATTCATGCGTGGACCAATAAGAATGCAGCGATCAGATTTGACGCATGGGCCGCGCGCCCCACGGTCCACAAACGTGGTGCCCCTGCCCCCCTGCGACACAGTTTGTGCCTGTTGCGATGGGTGGCAAGACCAAGCAGACGCAGCGGCGGCGGCAGGTGAAGGCAGGGGAGTCACGGCCCCCGGCCCGACATCACTAAGGCAGCCCCCCACAGCCTGCGGCAGGGGATGCCCGGGGCCAGACAGAGGGGCGCCCGGAAAGGCGGTCCCCCACCCCCCAAGGTGAGGGATCCGGGCATGCGGGGACGGCGGTGGCAGCGGCAGGGGGGGAAGGCCAGGGGGCGTCTGTTGGCGGCAGCGCCCCACTCCCGGATCTGTTTGACTTTTCGCATTTGGTGGCGGGGGGCCTGGGGGACTCGGATTTGGAACCCAGCGCGGAGGGGGCTCTGAACCTACAACAGCTGCCAGCTGTTGGGGCATCTGAAGGGCTGTTGCCGGCCGGAGATCCCGAGGGGGCGTCTGTGAGTGGCAGGGTGGGGTCTGCATCTGTACCGGCGGCAACACCTGGGGCCCCGTTGACGGCATCTGGGGCGGCCGCCTCTGGAAGCGACGTGAAGCGCGCGGCCGGCGGCGAGGGTGGGAATGCACCCTCAAGGGCAAAGCGGGCCCGAACGGAGGGAGGGGGTGGGGTGGGGGTCACCTCTGGCAGCAATAGGTGTGTGGCCCCACCATTGGGGCCTGGGCAGAGTGGCAGCCGGTGGGTGAAGCTATTGTATGTGGAAGAGGAGGGGCGGCCTGGCATCCTTGCAAGATACGACAGTGTTACGGGGAAGGAAGACGACCACAGCAAGATCATTTGCCGCATATGCGGCAAAGGGATTTCCTTCAAGTCGCCATCCTTCTCGACTGCGGAAAAGCATATGGGGCACCACAAGGTCACGCGACGGACGCTGTCCGTTGCCGTGGAGCTGGCAGACAAAGCACGGGCGGATGGTGTCGCTTTTCCCATGGCTGAGTTTCTTGCGCGGACGGCTGAGGAGGGCCGTGAGGTGGGAGTGGTACATTACATGCAGCAGGAGGCCTTTGCCACAGGAACCGCCCCGTGGCAGCAAATGCGGTCAGCGATCACCCGCTGGATCGCAGCGGATAGCATTCAACTATCCGCTGTTGAGTCTCCAAACTTCCGCCGCATGTGCAAGGCACTCAACGGCCGCTGCCCCTCCTTCAGCCGGAAGGCCGTCACCAACGAGGTCCGCTGTTACCACGTCGTTGCATGCATTGTGTGCAATATGTTTTGTTGTCCCATGGTGTCCATGTGATACAGTCCGCAGCACACAACTGTGTTGGTTGTCAGCCTGAAAATAGTGTCTTTGTTGTTATGGCAGTTGGCATCCATGCACCGTCAGGCGGTGCAGAAGCTCCGGGGGATGGAGGAGTGGAATAAGGTGCGGCCAGCCTTCACCTGCGACCTTTGGCGCTCTCGCACGCGGCGAGAGTATTTTTTAATGACCATGCACTGGGTGGAGGAGACGCACTAGCATGACGGCCATGCCAACCGCCAGTGGCGGTTGCGGAGCAGGTGCATGGGGTCAGTGCCTGTGGAGGCGGAGAGCATCACGGCTGAAGGTGAGAGGCTGTGCAGCGAATGGGTAGCAGTGACTACCCAACTGGCAGCTGGTCGGGTTGTTTGTTATTTGTGATATTCGCCTTTGTTGCTTGTCGCAAGCAGTTTTTGTATGCAGTGGTGGTGGACCTGGCCCGCAAGGAGCTGGAGAAGTATGGGATGATGGGGTGAATGGGCAGCAGTGACCGCCCAAGTACCAGCTTGTCGAGTGGTTTGTTGCTTGTCACAACGTGTTTGTGTATGCAGTGGTGGTGGACCTGGCCCGCAAGGAGCTGGAGAAGTATGGGATGACCGGCTGGTGGCCGTCCTTTGTCACGGACGCTGGGAGCAACGTCAGGCGGGCTATTAGGGGGGAGCTGGCAGCACATGAGGTTGGGGAGCAACCTAGAGGCGGCATGGCAGATTGGTCCCGCTGTGCCTGCCACATGCTCCACAACGTCATGACCCATGGCCTGACCAACCTACGCGTCCGCGCCACCCATACCAAAGGCTGCCAAAAGCTTTGCAGTGCAATAGACCGGTAAGCTATGATGCTGGTGTGTCTTTGTGTGTGTGTTGCTATGCGTGCATATATGTTGGTGGTTATTTGTGTGTGCTGCAACTGCTGCAGCTGCTGCTTCTGAATTGTTTCATCAGCAGTGTGCATGTGTCCTTACGATGGCAGGGTCTCCACACTGGTGAACCACATGCGTGCCAGCGCAAAAGCCACAGCTGAGCTGCGAAGGCTGCAAGTGGAAATAATAAGGGAGGGTAATAATGTAGTTTCTAGTGATGAGGAGGGGGTGTCTGCATCAGAGGTGCCCTCCGATGAGTCGGGTGAAGGTGGCAGGAGGCCCAACCTGCAGAGGGTACTCCAGCTGGTGAGGTCTGTGGACACTCGATGGAATAGTACATTTTTTATGCTGCAAAGGGCTGTGCGCCTGAGGAAGGCCATCGACATATGGTTTGGGCTGCACCCCGAATACGATAATCCCATCGAGATTACACAATGGGGCTACCTGGAGGCCCTCCTCCCAATCTTGGCATCTATCAAGAGGTGCTGTAAGAGGCTGGAGGCGGAGGCATACCCTACGGGCTCCAAGGCTCTCACCAAGCTGATGCACCTCCGGCGTTTCCTTTACAAAATGGGCGGCATGGACAATAAGGGGCCATACAGTGGGTTGGTGCCATTCTGCAGTGACATGGCCTACAAACCAGAAGAGGCCCTCAGCGACTCCACGTGGGTCTGGCAAATGGCCTTTTTGGCTTTGATGGACCCCACCGGTGAGCGATCGTTGCTAATCACTCAGTGATGTTGTTGTTGGTGTTGTGTACTGTTTCTCACTGTGGTGTTGTTCACATATTCAAAAACACATATAAAAGGTCAGAAGCAGTGCTGATGAATTGCATGGTGTGTGTGCAGTGTACGCCTGGAAGGCTACCCTGGGGTCCTACATAAAGGTACTGGAACCCATCAGGGAGAAGTTCGTGTCGGTGGATGCCGTGATAGAGGACATGTCGGCTGAGCTGCTGGAGTTGTGTCTTAAATTCGCGAAGGACATTGGGTGGTCAGAGGCATCGGGGCAAGCAGGCCTGCCACCCCATCCTGGACAGCGGCCCGTGCGCAAGCCGAGGGAGAAGCGCATGGGGCATAAGACGTTTGACACTAGCTCTGAGGAGGATTA